GGTTCAGCCACCACTGCTCCTGGGGCAGTCTGTGCCTGCAAGAGAGGGACGGAGCGCTGGGGCAGCCCGCGGGACAGCGAGCAGCACCCTGCTCTGCAGTGGTCCCTCTGGTCTCACCCCTGGTGACCCGCGGGGAGAGTAGGGGCATCTGAAGAGGGACTTACTCAAAATCGGTGACTTTCTTGAGCTCCGTCACGGGGCTGAAGGCCACCACCTTCTTCCTGAGCCCGATCACGCAGGCAGAGTCTGCTGAGTTGGCAAACACGCGCCCTGCAGGGACACAGGCGCCCGTCACCGCGTGCCGCGGCGCCTAGAAGCCGGCCCGCCCGCCCGCAGCAGCTGCAGGCAACCACGGGCCAAGACCGCTCTCCTGCATGGCTAGCAGGGTGCAGAGGACCCTTCTGAGCCTGGCAGGCGAAAGCACCCCAGCCAACTGCCCTGCCCGCCCGCTGCTGCCGCCGAGCCGACGCGCGTGGCAGGGACACGTGCCCTCTGCCCCAGGACAGGGCTGGCGCGGGCGGCGCGAGGCTCCTTGTAGCCTTGCGGGCTGGCAAAGCACCAGCCCCGCTTGGCACACGCGTTCCTGGGAGTTCCTGCTGGCTCTGGCACAGGAATACGGATCCAGGCGCATGCCAGCCCTTTGCTCACCCTTGCGGTAGACTTCCTGCAGCTTTTCTGACATCCACAGCACGGCCTTCACTCCCAGCTTGGTGCCGTAGTTACGGTCAAAGGGTGTTGGGGCTCCTCCCTGGTGGCAGAGGGACACTGGCCTCAGGCCCGAGCCCTTTGACACCGCTGGCAGCAGCAGCAATGCTGCTTGCCCCGGGGCATCTCCAGGGGCAAGGTGCCCACCAGCAGGTCCCTCTCCAGGCCTGCCACCCGTACCTGCTGGAGGTGGCCCAGGACATTAATCCTGCAGTCGAAGATGCCTTTGCCCTCAGAGGAGTAGAGGTTGTAGAGGAACTCGGTGGTGTAGTGCTCGTGGCACTTCTCGTTGCTGGGGGAGCAAAGGGAAGGTGGCACTGTGTGCCCAAGGATAGTGCTGTGCACCCAGCGCACCAAAGCAGCCTGCCCCCGGGGACATGCAGCGAGTGCTGTGTGCAGGAGAGGGTTGGCCACCCCGATCCCTGCCTTCCCAAGGGCAGCGAGCCTTGTCCAGCTCGGCCCCAGGCTGCCAGGGGCAGCCAGGGGCAGCCTGGGCTCATTCCCAGGCTCCCGGGACACTGTCCCGCAGTACCCGGTGCGGCAGAGGGTATGAACTCACCGCAGCACCAGGCCCCTCTGGATGTCTGTCTTCATTTTGTCAGTCAAGTGCTCCACGTTGGCCTGCAAGACAACACATGGATCACTATCCTAACAGCTCCTGTCCCTTCTCTGTGCCCAACGTAGTGGCCCGGACAGCTCCTCCGGGCTGCTTCATCCTGCTGCT